GAACTTGCAGTTTCCAACCGTTGTATCGTAAAGATTGAGAAAACTAACCACACTGAGTGTGAAATTGTGATGAGAAGGGGAAGTTACTGAATATGAGTCTGGAACGAGAAATCGCAGTGATGACATTTTCCTTTCTATATACTGTTTATAGACATAAACATACATATGTTTATACATTATATACATATACATTTGTATATCTATATACATTTTGTAGATTGTACATCTATATACATTTTCCTTTCTATACCTTAATCCAAGATGACTTTGAATTTAAGATGACCCCCAATAATGAGGTTAGATAAATTTGTTATAATTTTCCATGTATAGAATCTAATTATCAGTGTGTCTTCTAAAAATCATCCCTCCACTGCCACAGTGGGGAAAGCAGTAGAAGTGGGGCATGTGGTGAGGGTGGGGGCAGGTGTCCCCTAGATCCCCCCGACCTGCTCCTCTGATGCCTGTTCTCCTGTGGTGCCTGTACTCCCTTCCACCTCCCCCTGCCTTCTGCCCCCATGTGCCTGTGCCCCTGGTGTTTGCCCCCTGCCAGCCCTGAACAGCCTATGTTCCCATACCTACGCCCTGCAGCTTCTGCAGCCTCTGGCCCCACATAGCCTTTACCTCTCTGCAACCTCTGATCCTGTCCCCCACAGCTTTGCTCCCCTGTAGCCTTTGCTCCCCCACCTACAGCCCACAGTTTCTGTCCCTGCCCTAGAGCTGTCATTGCCATGGTTGCATGGCTGGGCAGGGATCAGAGCTTCCATGTGCTCCATGTCCTGGGAAGGAATGGGGCCCAAACCATGCTTGACAGTAAGTGGGGTGGGGTGGGGGTGGGGAGCAGGGGGGACGGGGGCAGGCAGATGCTGCAGCTCTGTCTCTGGCCATGACCCAGGCTCAGAGCTGAAGTCAGAGCCATGTCAGCTGCCTGTGCCCCCTTCTGCCCACCTTCGCAACCTTGTACTCAAATTCAAGATGAGGGGCTTTCCCCCTCAAATTGAATGGTGAAAGCACCTTGTATTGAATTCAAGTAAATACAGTGAATGTGATGAAAGGAGAACTAAATATGTGTCAGTCAGAATGAATATGAGCTGCATATATTATGATGGTAAACTTTCAGTAACTACATGAATGCTGCTTTATAGGCTAACCGGAAATGCTGAAGAGACATGGTCCCTGGACTTCTCAGGGAATCAGGCACCTATGTCTAGCTATGGGAAGAGTCTAATCTCTGCTCTGGATTCACAAAGCTCTCCTGAGTTAGGCACCTAAACCTTTCTTTCAAAACCTGGGGTACTTATTTTAAAAAACCCAGATAGAAGAGAAGGTGTCTCCTTTTTATCTAACAGCCCAGTGGTTAAAGTAGTCACCTAGGTGGAAGAAGATCTGCCTTCCCATCCCTGCTCCAGTGAACATTTAATTGTTTTGTACTAAGTGGTGTTAGTTTCAGTAGGAGACATTAAGAGCAGTAAAATTGAGCCTTTTTCTGTTGAGAATGATTTCTCAGAGCTTCTATATGCATCAAGGTAAAAGAAAACGCGTTCATTTTTTTCCTTTGTAGGTTACATATGAAAATATTCTGTGTTTGTTTAACATAATAACCGCTAGACACACAACAGTTGCAAGACAGACAAAGTGAATAATTGCTTATCTTTTGATGGCAAACCACTCCTTAGACAAAGATTAAATAATCAAACACTGTTCCAACTGTGAGTGTTATGGACATCGTGGTTACAAGAAATTTGTAACTTGTCACCAGAGGCGACGCAGGCAGGATGCGGGGCCCGGGGCAAATCAGCTCATGCAGGGCTCTACCCCAACTCCGATCCCACTGTCCTGGACCCAAAGAAGCTGCCGCCGCCATTGGCAGTGGCAGCTATGGGGGTGGGGGGCTAGTGAGTGGCTGGATGCGGAGCCACTGCTCCGCCCAGCTCCGTGCCACCACTGCTACACCCGGCTCCATGAGGCCCCCCAAAGCACGGGGCCTGGGGCAGTCACCCCAATTCACAACCGCCCCCCCCTCCCCTGGGACGGCCCTTTTTGTCAGATGTAACTTTCAGAACTTCTTGAATGATTATTTATTATTGAAGAAGGGGAACTCAGCCCATATTATATCTGGTGCTGAATAATTTCCTTTTGGGGTTAATGATTTGTTGCAGTCAATAAATACTGTTTTAATATGTGACCATGGTAGGTTGCAAATTGGCAGCAGAGAATAGCTTTGCCTCTGCTTGTAAATGTTAGGGTGTTCCTTTCTTGGCAGCTTCCGTAAAGATTTCCTGAAGTTGTGCCCTCTAGATAGTCTTTAATTAAATTTCTGGTATAATAGATATGAGTCAAAGTGGGTCATTGGAAACAGTGATAAAAGCTGAGTAACTTTATGCACCCTAGACACATCCTACACTGTCTGCATTTTTACCTATATGTTGATATCTTTCCAGATGCACTAATAATCAAACCAAGGTCCTTCTGAGATCATTAGGTAATGGTGAAGAATGGCCACTATGACATCCTACAAGCAATGCCCATTTCAGAGTTTAAGCAAAACAGGGAACAGCTAGCAAATATTGGCCATTTCAACTCATTTCTAGATAAATTGAAATAGGAGCTTGCATTTAACCAGCCTGGAAATACCTATGTTTCTTTTTGCCTTCATTGCCGCAGAAGTGAAATGTCAGCAGGAGGAAGGCTCCAGGAAGGTAGAAGGCAGAGTTTGGAGCCCAGTGGCAGCAAAGCCCTAACAGGGGCACTCTGAGTAACCAGCTCACCAGACTGGAGGCTCAGAGGAGTCCTCAGCCCCAGGGGTCCAAACTTTGGAAAGGAATAAATAAGGCTTAGTATGGGGGAAGCCCCAGTGATTGCCGCTTCACCAGGAGAAGTTGCAGAGGCAACAGACTTACATTACTGAGGAGTGCTTGGGACTCATTCACTCAGTCCAACACTAGTTGATTTGAGTTAATGAGTTTGGGTCAATGAATTGTTTAATACTCATGAACTATTTATTCTGAGTGGACTTCATGTATTTGGTTCCCTGAGGGGTCAAATGAATTGCTCCTGCCAGATGGTGCAGAGGGATCCAGAGGGCCTAGGGAGTGGTTGGATGCGGAGCCACTGCTCCGCCCAGCTCCGTGCCACCACTGCTACACCCGGCTCCATGAGGCCCCCCAAAGCACGGGGCCTGGGGCAGTCACCCCAATTCACAACCGCCCCCCCCTCCCCTGGGACGGCCCTTTTTGTCAGATGTAACTTTCAGAACTTCTTGAATGATTATTTATTATTGAAGAAGGGGAACTCAGCCCATATTATATCTGGTGCTGAATAATTTCCTTTTGGGGTTAATGATTTGTTGCAGTCAATAAATACTGTTTTAATATGTGACCATGGTAGGTTGCAAATTGGCAGCAGAGAATAGCTTTGCCTCTGCTTGTAAATGTTAGGGTGTTCCTTTCTTGGCAGCTTCCGTAAAGATTTCCTGAAGTTGTGCCCTCTAGATAGTCTTTAATTAAATTTCTGGTATAATAGATATGAGTCAAAGTGGGTCATTGGAAACAGTGATAAAAGCTGAGTAACTTTATGCACCCTAGACACATCCTACACTGTCTGCATTTTTACCTATATGTTGATATCTTTCCAGATGCACTAATAATCAAACCAAGGTCCTTCTGAGATCATTAGGTAATGGTGAAGAATGGCCACTATGACATCCTACAAGCAATGCCCATTTCAGAGTTTAAGCAAAACAGGGAACAGCTAGCAAATATTGGCCATTTCAACTCATTTCTAGATAAATTGAAATAGGAGCTTGCATTTAACCAGCCTGGAAATACCTATGTTTCTTTTTGCCTTCATTGCCGCAGAAGTGAAATGTCAGCAGGAGGAAGGCTCCAGGAAGGTAGAAGGCAGAGTTTGGAGCCCAGTGGCAGCAAAGCCCTAACAGGGGCACTCTGAGTAACCAGCTCACCAGACTGGAGGCTCAGAGGAGTCCTCAGCCCCAGGGGTCCAAACTTTGGAAAGGAATAAATAAGGCTTAGTATGGGGGAAGCCCCAGTGATTGCCGCTTCACCAGGAGAAGTTGCAGAGGCAACAGACTTACATTACTGAGGAGTGCTTGGGACTCATTCACTCAGTCCAACACTAGTTGATTTGAGTTAATGAGTTTGGGTCAATGAATTGTTTAATACTCATGAACTATTTATTCTGAGTGGACTTCATGTATTTGGTTCCCTGAGGGGTCAAATGAATTGCTCCTGCCAGATGGTGCAGAGGGATCCAGAAATTAATTAGTTGGGACATGTATGAACTATTTGTTTATTGAAGGCTTGAGTTCAATTCTGCCTAGAGGAAATTAATGAATCACACTCAGCAGAAGACCCAGCGTGCCACAGGCCTTTGAGCTACCACAGGATCATATAAATCTTTTGTTGACTTGAGGGGACTCAGTTGAAGTCTTTAGCCTATGGGCCTCACGAACCTTTGTTGAATGCAGTAAGCTGAGTTGTTTACTACCTGCATTGCTAGTACGGGACCCTCCTGTGCAAAGAACTGTAGTCTGAACCCTAGTGAGACCTAGTTGGCATGTGGACATGGTGCAAAGGGGAGGAGGAGCCCTGAGAACCATTGATACGCTCTGCTCATGGGAGTACCTGCACATGACCAAGGACCCTCCCTCAATCTCACAAGATCAAGGCATGGCAGGAAAGTAAAGGGGTATGCCCTATGAGCAGGACATACAAAGGATCAAACTGTCCAGCCCCAAGAGCTGGCACCCTAGAGGCTGGAGGGCTTGGGCAGTGCTGCTCATAATTAGGAAAATAAATAGAAGGTTATACTCTGCTTTGACTGCAGGGCATGGCATAACTATACCATGTACTCAAATGTGGAGATATGAATGAAAGAACAGCTGGTTGAATACACCAGACACTCAGAGAATATAGTGATGAGTGAGCTCATAGAAAGTTAGTTACATTTTTCTCTTGGTTTGCATATGGTAATGTTTAATGATCTTAACAGTGAAACCAGCTGTTGCTCTTCAGCTCACGAACAACATTGTTAGTATTAGGGTTGAATTCCCTCTGCTTTGATCTATAGAAAAAGTAAAGGAGTCCTGGAAATAAAAAGAAGTTGAATAATTATATTGTACAAGTTATTTGTAGTTTAATTTTAACACATAATGCTGGAAACAAGCAAAATAGTTTCAAAATACACACAGAACAGCTCTCATTAATTTTTGCTTTTGAAACAGTAAATGTTAATAATAATATTAAAAACATCTTTAATTTTTCAGAATTCTTCAAGAGAATTAAGTATATTTAAATCTTAATTCACTTACCTTTATACTGGAAAACAGTATCAACTTTACTGCCAATTCCTGGAAAGTCATCTACTATTCTTTGTGGATAACCTCTTTTCATGGTTTGACTGTTTTCATCGTACCTGAATGATACAGTAGGATGTAATGATTTTTTAAGTGTTTAAATTTCAATCCTGAAAAGATGTAAACATATACTTAACTTTATCCTTAATATGGAATCTGATTGACTTCACCAGGACTGTTCACATTGTATAAGTAGATAACCTTCACATGTGCATAATTATTTGAAGGATTTTGGCATTCGGCCCAGATTTATAAAAGCATGTAGGCACTGATGTGGGAGTTAGGGTTTGGATGTACCATGTGACAGTTTAATCAGCCTTTCCACCTTGTAGAAACAGGGAGTAGGCACATGCAATATCTCCCTAACCTGGTGCAGTGTACTTGAATCCAAGGTAGAATTACATCAGGGATAGTTAGAGGCACTGTTGTCAGCTAAAACCACATTTTTGTCAGCTATATTGGTGGCAGTGTCATGTATCTGTGGAGTTATCCGGAGGTAGCCATTTGCGATAGGCTTCCCTACAACCTACTGGCAAAGCATTAAAATTCTGCCTACTGTGACTAGCTGGTTGTCGACTCTGGATCCTAATTTAATCTGGTATACAAACACAATGTACAATACAGTGGAGAACTGTGTTATTTAATGAGGTCCTTTGGGACTTAAATCCAGGAATCTGATTCCTGCCTAATACTTAGGTACATGAGAGGCCTCAGTTTCTGCCACTAAAGTTCCACAGGTGGTTGGGACTCTGCTTCTGTGCACCTCACAACTGTTTCCATCTCGGCAGGACTAGGCATCATGGCCCTATCGCTACAGACTAGGCATCCCAGAGCACACCTGCTTCACATCAATATAACTGAAACTAGAACAAGTCCAGAGGTCACAATCTCTTTCATTGAATTGAAGTAGTGGAGATGGTGTTGCCACTCTGTATAATAGTTTAGAGCACTGGTTGTTAACTGGGAGTATGCATACCCCGAGGGGTACTTAAAAAGGTCGTAGGGATATTGGTGGTGGGGGGGGGTTCCCACCACTGTGCACACCCTGGCAGAGGCCTGTGGGGCACGTGCCCCCCCCCGATTTGTATGCAGGGTGGAGATGATTGCTGCTGCACATGGGGCTTTGTGCACCGCTGCAGCTGCCCTGGGAGTGGTGCGACACCATGTGCCTGCTACTGCTGGGCTGTGCTGCGCCCCCTGCCCACCTGGTGGTGGGATGCGCATGGCATCACACCACTCCTGGGGTGCTGCAGCGCAAAGCCCAGCATGCAGTGGCTGCTGCCACCACCCCATACACAGATCGGGGTGGGGGGAGTATGTGCCCCCCAGGCCTCTGCCAGGGTGTGCACAGCAGCAGGAGCTCCTGGACAAGCCTCCTAGACTCTGATTGTCCCACACCCCAGCCTGGTCAGGGCCCCATTCACCCCAGCCCCAGTCCACTTCCTACTTCACTGCAGGGGCCTCGATCTGCCCCCACCAAGGCCCTTTCCCCTCCCACACAGACTAACCTGCTGGGGGACAAGAAGGTGCACACACACATGTATGTATGTGCTCAGCGCCCACAAATAATTTTAATATAAAGGGCTACATGAGCTGAAACTCTGAGACAGAAGAAGTACGTTTGTTAAAAAAGGTTGAAAACCCCCGGCCTAGAGAAATTGTGCCCAACCTTTCAGCCCTGTGGGCCAGATGAGTAGTGAGGAATTGGTCCGCAGGTCAGATCCAGTCTGTTGGCCCAATCTGGTACCTGGGATTGGGACCTGATCTGGCACACAGAGTTTATCTGGTAGAGCCTGATCTGGCATATGGGGTTAGAGCCAGGGCCCAATTTGATTTGCGGGGCTGGTTTGCCTGGGCCCAATCTGGCACGTGGGGTCAGCCCTGTGTGCTGTCTTGGGCCCCATGCCCAGGGATTTAAACACCACTCTCCCACCTCCCAGGAGAGTACACTAACCACCAGTCTGGAGGTAATGCTGGGATAATGGAGTTTAAGAGTACTCATAATCACAGTGGCCCAGCTTCATCAAGAGGGATGGAGGGAAACCACATCCAGTTACTTTGCTTCTTCGCTTGTGGTTCAAGTACTCTCTTATGTCATATGAGGAACATTATTAGCAAATCCAATCCTCCTCCACTTGAAGAGCAGCCAGTATAACATAAGGATGAGTTTAGGGCTTGAAAAAAATATAATTGCTGCTTTACTGCTACTTTAAAAAATAATCAGGTGGATTGCTAATGCATTTGCCTTGTGACAATGACTGTAAAATATCAGTGTAAGGGCTCTCACCAAACACACTGCATTCAAAGCATAGAGAACTATAGACAGTTAAAAACTTAGCTAATATTGTGTGCCTGATTTTATTATCACGCTAAGGAAATGTATTGTAAATGATTAAGAAAACCCCCCAACATCTTTGGCTCACACGATGCTCCCTACTTATTGCCAACTCTGCATAAGGAACTACTCTCATGAATAGCTTGCCATCTGCCTAAATATATCTGTTTGTTTATTTCATTTCCTCTGGTATTTGAGCATCAAGATTAATTCACAGCAATTAGACAAGCAGGATTCATCTTAAATGTGCTACAAATTCAAATAAGGGAAAATTAAGGACAGACTGTTTCATTCCACGTTATCTTGATTTTCCAAGTGTGATTCAGATTTATTTGTTCCGAATGCTCTTTGAACCCCAGTACTGGGACAGTTGAAGCCATACCCCCCTGGGTTTTGGGGGTAGGCAAACAGCTGCAACCTCAGTGTGCTACAGCCAGTGCTGCCCTGGCTTTCACCACTGTGAGACCTCTGCTGAACACAAGAGTCAGAGAAAGTAAAGTCCTATTAGATCAGTGAGTGTATCTTCCTGCTAATGACAAATTGCTTTCTTCTTATATTTTTTTGTAATGAAAGTCCCATCTCCTGAAACTTCTATCATTTTTTGTTGAATGGCTCTTGCTGTCTGTCTTCTATAGTAGATAGAAACATATCTAGGTCCAGGATACTCTATTTACATTCCTTTATACTGGACTTTAAAAGGGAAACAAAAGTATATTCTTTCATCAATTCAGAGTCGCTTAAATGCTTGTATTAAATGCCAAATAAAATGTTCTTTAATATTGCTACCTAAATGTCTAAATAGTTAATGGGACACATCTTGTCTGCACATATTTAGATAATAGAGAAATCAAACAGAAAACAAAATGATTGCTCTTACCTCCAATACTTGTCACCTACAAAAAAGTCCGTTTTCCCTGTATTCTTATTAGAAACAGCTGCATCAATTTTCTTAACACTGCTTGGGAAACCCAATATGCTGATATTCTTAGGATAACCAGGCAGCTCCTGATACCCACTGATAACCCAGAAATTATTGCCTGTTAATACAAAAAATGCAATTCTAGTTTCACCAATGGTTCCTGACAGGCAAAAGCAAACACAGGTGCATTCTCTTTTGTAAGTCACACAAGAGCAGAATTCAGGAAAAATACATTAAATTTCCTGTAACTGGTGATACTATATAGCAAGCGAATTTCTCACATATCCACCCACTTCGCTCTTCTCTTTTTAAAAGTTCTATTTTATGAAAAATTTAGTGCAAATAAAATGCTTTACCTTTGAAAAATAGAGTCTGATCTTTACTATTTTCATAAGCCGCTTGAATACCAAATGGAAGAAAGGGCAAGAATGTAGAAATTAATTCAAGTTCAACTTCAAAGGTATCAGGATAGACTCTCCATAAATACCTGTATATGATAGTTTTCATAGTAAATAATAAACCCCATAGATATCTCTATATATTAATGACAATATAAATAGCAATGTGTCTTAAACCCCTTTTCTAATAAGTGGAATCTAGCTGAATTGTACTAATCAAGCAATTTTGCTTTGTTGGACAGTGAAATGCTTGCTACAGTGGGGGGTAAGATTTTGTCACTTCTTACTAAAATCCAAATGGACCACCCACTTCTAGAATTCCAGTTTTCAAAGATACCAAATGGTTAAGGCTATAAATTAGGAACAGAAGGATTTGGGCAACTCCTGTGCCACATTCTAATACAGGGAGAAGTCAGGATCGAAAATGGACCTGACTGATTTTGTAACCTATGAAATCCATCTGCGTTGCTTGCACAGATGTAACCAAGAACAGAATTTGGCCCAATTATATGGCGATAAAGATGACAATACCTTAGCAAATGTATCTTGTTAGCTAAGGGGCGGGCAATTATTTCAGGCGGAGGGCTGCTTACTGAGTTTTGGCAAGTTGTCAAGGGCCTCATGGGTAGCTCCGCCCCTTCACAGGTGCCCCCACCTCCTTGGTCGCCATCTTGGTACTAGAAATTCCACCCCCTAACCTCTGACCTTTGCCCCAGGAAGTCCCTCCCCTTGACCCTGGAAGTATTCCTTTGGGGAAGAGGGTTTGCCATCTTAAGGGAAAAAAACCAAATTATATACTAAAACTCAAACACCCATAATAATATATTTTAATTTAATTTAAAATAATATTTTTGCCCTGATTTGTGTGGGTTTGTGCTGTATATGTAGAAGTGATTGCATAATAGCTGCATAATGCAGTCTTATTCGTATATTGTATGGGGTGTGGAGGGGTGTCGGGGGGAAGGGTGGGTGTGGGAGTGGTGTGGAGCTGTGGGTGGGTGGGAAGGGGGTTTGTGGGGATGTGTGTGGGTATGTTATTGTGGCTTTGGGACCCACATGGTGCAGAGTGGCTGGGCGG